GGTGCTGCTGGTGCTGGAGCTGCTGGAGGTGCTGCTGGTGCTGGAGCTGCTGGTGGTGCTGCTGGAGGTGCTGCTGGAGGTGCTGCTGGTGCTGGAGCTGCTAGAGGTGTTGCTGGTGCTGGAGCTGCTGGAGCCGCTGGTCCTGGAGGTGCTAGTACTGGAGGTACTGGCGCTACTGGAGGTCCTGCTGGTGTTGGAGCTGCTGGCGGTGCTGGAGCCACTGGTCCTGGAGGTGCTCGTACTGGAGGTACTAGAGCTGCTGGGACTGGAGCTGCTGCGGGAGTTGGAGCTGGCGGTGCTGGAGCTGTTGGAGCTGGTGGTGCTGCGGGAGTTGTAGCTGGAGACCCTGGAGCTGAGGGTGCTGGTGCTGTCTCTGCTGGTTCAGGAGGCGCTGCGCGGCCGCGGCCGTACTACGTTCCGCTCCTTCAGCAGGTTCTTGGCCTCCCGCCTTCTACTGGTCCTACTCCTCCCCTACTGAGTCCACCGCCGGTCCAGTCGCAGTCACAGTTACAGCCAGCCTCTCCACTGCCTGGTCCTTCTCCTTACTCTGGACCGACTAGAGGTCTTACGGAGCGTCGTGAGCCTGAGTCTCGTCCTGCGTCGCCTGAGTCCCGTCCAGAGTCGCCTGTCCGCGCTGTCCGCACTGTTCGTCGTGTTCCGCGTGAGCGTCCTCCTCCTGTCCCTGGCACTCACTATATGACTCTGCGTCCTTCCACTGCTCCACAGCGTGTCCCTCTGCCGTCTCCTCCTGCGTCCTCTCTTCCTGACGGTCCGGACCCGGAGTCTGACTCCCTTCATGCTGCCAGTCCTACTGTCACGCATTTCCTCGCTACTGTTGTCACTGATCCTTCCTTTGAGTCCACTGCTGCGTCTGCTCTAGTGGCTGAGCTTGTTGACTTTGCTGCCGCCTGTCGTCTAGACTACGCCGCTAGCCTTGTTGCTGAGTCTGAGTCTGTCTGTCCTCCGTCCGTCGGGGGTGAGTGTGCTCTTTGGCACGGACGTCCTTGAGGACAGACAGGAGGAGTTTGAGTGCTTTGCCGCTGTTTTACCTCATCTCGTGTCCATGCTGATTGCCCCTGAGGGAGACCCGGATGCACCAGACATCCCGACCCCGCGCTCTTACGCAGAGGCGATAGAGGGTCCCTACTCCTCTCAGTGGCAGTCAGCCATGGACGCAGAGATGGCTTCCTGGAAGTCCACAGGCACCTACATCGACGAGGTTCCCCCGCCTGGGGCGAACATCGTCAGTGGCATGTGGATTTTCAGGGTGAAGCGGCCGCCGGGTTCTCCGCCTGTCTTCAAGGCGCGTTACGTTGCACGAGGCTTCAGTCAGCGTGAGGGAGTTGACTTCTTCCAGACCTTCTCCCCTACCCCGAAGATGACCACTCTTCGGGTTCTGCTGCACGTCGCCGCTCAGCGTGACTACGAGCTCCACTCTCTTGACTTCAGCACTGCTTTCCTACAGGGCAGCCTGCACGAGGAGATCTGGCTGCGCCGCCCACCTGGCTTCACTGGGTCGTTTCCTGCTGGTACCCAGTGGAGCCTCCGGCGGCCAGTCTACGGTCTCCGCCAGGCACCCCGTGAGTGGCACGACACACTGAGGACGACTCTTGCTGCTCTTGGGTTTGCTCCTTCTACTGCTGACCCGTCGCTGTTTCTACGCACCGACACCACTCTGCCGCCGTTCTACGTTCTCGTGTACGTAGACGACCTGGTCTTTGCTACTGCTGACACTGAGGCACTCGCCCACGTGAAGTCGGAGCTGCAGAAGAGACACACGTGCACAGACCTGGGTGAGCTGACAAGCTATCTTGGCTTGCGGATCACCCGGGACAGAGCACAGCGCACCATTACCTTGACTCAGTCACACATGGTGCAGCAGGTCCTTCAGCGCTTCCGCTTCACGTACTCCTCGCCACAGTCCACTCCTCTGCCTATCGGTCACTCGCTCTCAGTTCCACCTTCGGACGAGTCCGTAGAGCCGAGTGGCCCGTATCCAGAGCTTGTGGGCTGCCTCATGTACCTGATGACCTGCACTCGACCTGACCTAGCCTACCCTCTTAGCATCCTAGCACGCTATGTCGCTCCTGGCCGACACAGGAAGGAGCACATGGATGCTGCTAAGAGGGTGTTGCGCTACTTGTGCAGTACGTCGGGCATGGGGCTCGTGCTTGGAGGACGGGCTCGAGTTGTCCTCACTGGTCACGCAGACGCTTCTTGGGCTGACGACTTGGCTACGCAGCGGTCGTCACAGGGTTACACCTTCAGCCTTGGCTCCGGCTCTGTTTCTTGGCGGTCTACCCGCTCGTCTTCTGTTCTCAGCTCCAGTTGTGAGGCTGAGATCTACGCAGGGGCCATGGCTGCACAGGAGTTACGCTGGCTCACCTACCTGCTGACCGACCTGGGAGAGCTGCCTCGCTCTCCTCCAGTGCTGTACGTCGACAACAAGGCCATGATTGCCTTGTGTCAGGAGCACAGACTGGAGCACAGAACGAAGCACATCGCTCTGCACTACTTCCTTGCTCGAGAGTTGCAGCAGCGTGGTCAGCTTCGTCTTGCTTACGTGGCCACTCGGGCCAACACTGCTGATGTGTTCACCAAGGCCCTTCAGCCTTGTGATCATCAGCGTTTCTGTACTGTTCTAGGCCTTGTGCCTACTGTGCCTCACTTGCTTACTTCTTGACTCTGCTTGTACTGTGATCTCTATACATATACCTGCATGCTTGCACTTGCTAGGTTGTGATCACTGTATTGCTTTTCTCCTTTATAAAACTCTGCATGTGAACTGGCCTTGTGGCCACTTGCTTGTGCTCAGACTGCGTGGTGACGTCGTGATCCACCCTGAGCTTGCTTTGCCTTTCTTGACCGGTCTTGTGACCTCTTGTTCTCCCCCACTTTGCCTATGGGGGTGTGTCAAAGTTATATGCTATAGTCTGTGTAGGCTTGTAGTGGGGTAGTTCATATAGGGTACAACACTTCTAGGTTTCCTACTTGTACCCAACTGCTTGCTCAATCAATCATTCCTTCGTTTCTATTCTGACAGGATGCGTTGCCGTGGATGCGTTCGCGGGTCGACCGTACGGCGGACCCATGTAGCGGATGCCGGTGACATGAGGAGGCATCGTCGGTGGAGGTGCAAAGGGTGGCGGTGCCGGTGCACCACCCATCATAGCATTGGTTGCTGCATGAATCCCTATTGCCTGCACAATCACGAGGATTAGCTGGTCAATCTTCGCAACCCCGATGGCATTGCACTCCCGCATAGTGCTGCACACCATGGTTGCCTCATCCATCATGGGCGGCGGTGCAGCATTGCGCCGTGGCTGGCCGCGTAGTGTTGTCCTAGGGTTTCGGCCATTCTCGAAGCCACCACCACCTTGCTGGTCTTCTCCTGCCATGTGAATAAAAATAAGAGTGTCAGTAAGCGTGCAATGTCAACAGATATTTACCTTGTTGCCTCAACCTTTCACCACGATGCAACATAAACAATACAATATGTCTGAAACTCACCAGCACTTGACGTCGGTGCAAAAGTTGTGGACGGTCGTGGAATGGCCGTCCTTTCCGCATTCAGGTTATCAGCACCCCCGCGGTCCTCGACGTGTGGGTTGACCGCGGCCGTATGGCGCTTCAAGTCATCCATGAACTGAAACCACGGGGGTAGAGTGATGTTCCCGTTGCCGGAGCGCCCAAGCGCCTCGCATATCTCCTTATACTCAGTTTCCATCCGCTTCCAGCATTGCTTCATGGATTCGCTTCGACGGTTCCATGCGGGGGACGCTTTGCGCATGTGCTGGCGTAATTTCTTCCAGTACTGCGCACCTTGTTTCCCTTGCATTTTCTTAACATCCTCTTTGGAATACCATCGTGCAGCAGCCAGCGCTGTCATCTCGTCCATGGTCCAAATGGAGCGCTTATGCTTCTTTTTCCTTCGCCTCAGGCTGCTCTTACCGCGTGGACGTTTGTCAGTCCGTTGGCTCTCACCGTCAGAGGAGCTATCTGCCATGTCGGTGTCGCTGTCGGTAGGAGACAAGGATTTGTAGCTACTAGAGGCATCATTCTCGACCATTCGTGAACTGCTGGGGCCTGCAGCCATGGAGGGAGCGCTGGAAGGGCCTGGGGATGTGTCAGGGTGCTCGGGGGCCTTGTTGCAAGCTTCACGACGAATGCGGCCCTTATCCTTCCCTGAGGCCTGTTGCTCACGCATCCAGGTGATGTAAGGATGTTCCGGGGGAGAATCGTCCTCATCGTCAGTCGCCTTTTCCTTGCCTTTGCGACTGTATTTCCAGGGAGCCATGACCTAGATGCTGATTCGTGTAGGGCTGTAGAAGCTAGAAAACGTGAACTGGAACTACTAGCATGCCTCGATTTGTAATGTCGAGGGTTGGATGAGGAAGGTGTGTGAAATCGTGTTCAAAAGGGAATCGTGTTCAATTTGGGAGGCATCGCGTCGCCCCCACTACCCAATCACATTCCGTGAGGAGCGCTGAAGCCAGCATGCGTCGTCAACTCCGTGCTCACAAAATGAGACGACTGGTCAAATCGCGTGGACGTGCAGTTGGGCATTCCCACCCGCAGGATTGGTTGCGATGTGACGCACATTCCTGTACGAAGGTTGGGTGTGGCGGTTTCAGGGTCCGGCCGTTTGTCCGTCGTGGACCCAAAGCCTCGGGTCATCCAACTTCGTGTCTTCCGTGCTTGACCTGATGTCGGACACGAGGTAGGAATGTACCCTTAGAGTAGGTACGTTCCTTAGGGCCCACTGAACGTTCCGCCCTGGTCGGACTTGATTTATTTTTTTTCCCTGCCCTGCAGCCTAGCGCCAGCGCGCGCCTTACTGCCCTGCTACTGCGCGCCCTTGCTGCCCTACCCGCGCGTGCGCCCTGCTGCCCTGCCTGAGCGCCGCCCTGCCCGCGCGCGCTCTGCCTGCAGCTGCGCCGCCCTGCCTGCCCGCGCGCTCTTCACGCGCACCCTGCTGCCCACATCACCAGCGCGCCCTGCTACCCAGCACGCCAGCGCGCCCCGCTGCCCAGCGCGCCAACGCGTCCCACTGCCCAACGCGCCAGCGCACCCCGCTGCCCAGCGCGCCAGCGCGCCCCGCTTCCCGACGCGCCAGCGCGCCCCGCTGCCCGACGCGCCAGCGCGCCCCGCTGCCCGACGCGCCAGCGCGCCCCGCTGCCCAGCGCGCCCCGCTGCCCGACGCGCCAGCGCGCCCCGCTGCCCAGCGCGCCAGCGCGCCCCGCTGCCCAGCGCGCCAGCGCGCCAGCTCGCCCCGCTGCCCAGCGCGCCAACGTGCCCCGCTGCCCAGCGCGCCAGCGCGCCCCGCTGCCCAGCGCGCCAGCTCGCCCTGCTGCCCAGCGCGCCAGCTCGCCCTGCTGCCCATCGCGCCAGCGCGCCCTGCTGCCCAGCGCCCAGCGCGCCCTGCTGCCCAACGACCCGCGCCCTGCACGCGCGCAAGTGCCGCCTGCTACTGCCGCCCTAGGTGCTACTGCCCTAGGCGCTACCGCCTGCCGCTGCCCTAGGTGCTGCCGCTTGCTGCTGTCGCCGCTTGCTGCTGCCGCCCTAGGTGCTGCCGCCTGCTGCTGCCCTAGGTGCTGTCCCCCTAGGTGCTGCCGCCCTAGGTGCTGCTGCCACCCGCGTGCGCTGCCCTGTCCCGCACTAGCGCCGCCTTGCCCCGAGTGCTGCTACGCTGCTACTGCCGCCTGTGCTACTGCTGCTGCGCAGCTACTGATACTAGCTGCCACTGCCTGCCATGGCCACTACCACTTTCCTACGTCAGCGGCAGCCGAGTGTGCAGGAGTCTTTCTCGCCGCTGCGGCTTTGCGAGTGGGCTATCTTGTGGGGCAGCCCCGGTGGCGGAGCTAGCCGTGCTCGTCGGCGGAAGCCGCTTTCGCCACAGCAGCGTCGTGAGTGGGTTGTCCGGTGGGGCAGCCCCGGTGGCGGAGCCTGGGGTGCTACTACTGGAGGTCCCTGTGAGTCTACTCCTGCTGGTAGTGCCGCTGGTAGATGCGGAGGTTCTGGGGGTGGACAGCAGCAGCAGCAGCGTCCGCCGGAGACTCTCTCCCCGTAGCAGCTTCGTGAGTGGGCTGTCCGGTGGGGCAGCCCCGGTGGCGGAGGGTTTCGGAGTATCCGTATTGGGGGTGTAGAGGCACCTGGAGCTGTAGAGGCTGCTAGTCTTGGTGCTTTTGACTCAGCTAGCGCAGGTGCAGAGCCTGAGGAGGCCTTGCACACTTTTACTCTCGACTCAGGCGCGTCTCGTTGCTTCTTCCGCAACAGCACCACAGTCACACCGCTCACTGTCCCTGCCCCTGTCACACTGGCCGACCCCTCCGGGGGCCCGGTAGTCGCGCGTGGCGCTACTGTTCTCCCTTGTCCGGCGGCCCCTTCCGGCCTCCTCACACGTCTCCACCTCCCCTCGTTCGCTAAGAACTTGGTGACTACCTCTGTCCTCCAGGACCAGTGGCTCACTGTCACCCAGCCTGCAGGCGAGCTAGTGGCGATCTGTACAGACTCGCGCCAGATCTGGTATTCCAAATCATACTGGGATACATCCAGTCTCATCTCCCTTGTGCAGAGAAATCCTATCAGGAGTTGGTTATCACTGTTACACTTTGAGTCCCCTAATGCAGTTGCGACATTTTCTCCGTGTGTGGCAATGATTGCACAGAGACCTCAGCACATCGTAACGGTTGTAGAATTATCCATCAACTCTTTCTCCCGTGTAGAGCCTTCCTGATGCGATATATTCATTAGTAGAAATAGCCCACTATGCTCATCCGTACCTCCGCTGTACAGCCGGTAGGGCGAGTGATAACATCGTCGTAGTCGAGCGTCTCCCTTATTTGCCGACATCTTCGTATTGCTCAAGCATTCTCCTGCATCGCCGAAGTTACGTTGCCGCTTGTAACACTTAGACTTCTGGTAGAATCGCCCTCCGAATTGTGGTCCTCGGCGTCGCAGATAAACGAGTACTTGTCGGATTTGAGGTTAATTACTCCTCAATCTCCTAAGCATCGTGACATATGCGAAGTATCTCCACGCAGATCAAAAACACATTTGATCACCTTAGAACATAATCAGAATACCGCCTTGTGAGGTTGGTGACAAAATGCTTCGACAAATCACTGCGGATGGTTGGAACCCTTAGGAGATATGGATCATCTAGCTCCTGTTACGATAGAGTGTCTCGCTAGCTTTGACGAGCGGTCCTGCATCAGCGTTGCATGTGAAATCAACTCCTTTGTAGCAACTCGGCATATGAGAAAATGTTTTTTTTGCAATCCCACATCATGATCATATGGACGCTAATTGAAGGAGATTCATAGGCAAACTCCTTTGTTGGTGTCGTTATGATCGTGGAAGTTACTTGAGAAAACGCCATCCATCGATGTCGGCCAACTCTCCACTCCTTGATGAGCGTTGCGATTGGCAGGGATCTGTCGACTATAGCTTAGGACGTCGGTTGGAGAAGTATCTGTGGCAAGGGTGGGCACAAAGGTGCACCACCAATAAAGATGTAACACTACACTAGCTAGGCTACAAGTAGTTACAATATAAAATATGTAAAAATATATATTCTGACACCCGGGGCCATACACGATCTCGTATTGGCAGGGCCCGGTGTCGCGGGGACATGCCCCCAGCTGCTAGAGCCACCACCACGGCCGACACTCCCCAAACTACCAGCTCCCCATTGCTGCTGAGGGGCCCACTACTGAAAACGCTGCTACAGCTGATGCACCTGCTGTGGCGGCTGCACCTTATGCTGCTGTTGCTGCTGCTGCTGCTGCTGCTGCTGGGTTTGTCGCTACTGCTGCGGCTGCTGCTGCTGCTAAACCCCCACCATATTCCCAGGACCAACGCCTCCTCCAACCGGACCCATAGTCGCGGCACCGCCTCAAGTGTCGGCCCCCATAGGCGAGGGGTAACTCGCAAGTTGGGCGGTGGTACAGGCAACACGATAGCAAGCATCAAGTGAGAGCAGGTCAGTAACGAGATCAGCAGTGGTGGCATACGCAGCCAAGTCTGGAAAGAGGAAGGCCATGAGGAGGCGACCAAGGGTAGCAGAGGAAGGTGTGGAATAGCGTGAAACGATAGTATCAAAACACTCCTTCGTCGTCGAGACCTGGCTAAAGTGAACGCAATGGGCGGGTGGGAGGAGTCAAGTGAGAGCGAGGCGAGCAGCAGCGTCGCGAGACTCCCACACCGAGTACTCAGTGCGCTGCTCAACGAAGGCCTCTCGGCCGGCTGGCGTAGGCGTATGAGGAAGAGGAGTGGAACGCGGAGGGGCGGGCAGCTCACCCGAAACGTCTGTGTAGAGGGTGTCGCCATCGTGACGCTGGCTCTGGAGATAGACTTGGTGTGCCGCGGCCAGGTGGCGAAGTCGATTGCACGGCCTTCAGAGTCGAAATGTAGAATACCGTCGGCTGGCATGACGAGCGCTAGCTGGGACTAGTCAACAGCCGTGCTAAACACTGGGCTAGGAACGGCACTGGGAACGGCGCTAGGAACGGCGCTGGGAACGGGTCTAGGAACGATGCTAGGAACGGCCCAATGAACGGCGCTAGGAGCGGCTCAAGAAACGGCGGTAGGAACGGCTCAAGGAATGGCGCTAGGAACGGCTCAAGAAACTGCGCTAAGAATAGCCATAAGGGCGGCGCTAGGAATGGCACGAGCGACGGTAGGAGCGGTGTAAGTAGGGAGGGACGTTGGTGGCGCGCCAGCGACGCGCTGCTATCTAGCGCGTTGCAGGCGCTCCTGCAGCTATCGCGCCGACATGCGCTGGCCAGCCTTGTGCTGGCGTTCACGACTGGCGTGCGCGCCGGTGCCATGCGTGCCGGTGCCACTGGCTGTGCGCGCTGCGGGGCGCGCTGCGTGCGCGCGCTGCTGTGTGTGCTGCTTTGCGCTCTAAGGTTGGATGGCATGCTGGAGCTAGGCCTGGCTGGGGGCGCGGCTGGCTGGCGGCGCTAGGGCTGGCTGGCTGGTTAGGAGGTAGGCTAGAGGCAAGGTAGGTGGCGTGGTAGACTAGGTGATGATGAGCGGAAGCGCAGACCTAACCTAGGAATGATACTTGTTACGATATGAAACTTTACGAGAAGGCATTCCTGTATTCTACAGGGGCCGACTCTAAAGTGTATGAAGCCGAGGAGTCAGAAGAGTCGAAGCGACACTGGTAACCGTCTGCTCAAGACCGATGCTGGCAGAAACATTCAAAGTGAAAAGAGCGGGAACAGGTTTGAAACGGTTCCCGCGCCGCACGGTTTGAACTTCGCTGTAATAAGGGAATGTACCCCTTAGAGTACATGGCTAGTCTAGGTCGTTTCGTATTCCTTTGTATTTCCTATATAAACTCAATGTATGCATGGTATTATCAATCTCAGTCATTTACATTCACTCTGACCCGAGTTCACTACTTCCGCTGCAATACTACCCTGCGATCAACCCTGCGATCAACCCTGAACGATCCTTCGCTAAGTCCCACTCGGGATTGTAACATGGTATCAGAGCTACTCAGGGATTCTTCGCAACTTCACTTCCGTGAAATTCGCCGAATCAAGATCTGGCGAGCGACACACGCTCCAAGACCAAGATGGCCGGAGGATCCGGAGGCCAAGCGAATCTGACGGCCGAAGGACAAACCAACCCGGCTGCGACAAATGAGGCAACAACCACGATCAGCACTGCCGCACTCGAGCAGTTGTTTTCGCGACTATCAACTATGGAGAAAGACCTCCAAGAACTGCGCAAAGGCGATGCGGGAACCTCTTCCCAACCAGCACAACCTGGACAACCGGCTACAAAAAGCCGCGATACCGCAGCGCATACCTTCTCCCTCGACACAGACAAATCAACTACAACTGCCCCCCGTCCAAGTGATGAAGTTATCAACTCTGCGCAAGCACGCTTTCTAAGCGTTTCAAAAATCAAGACTACTGCCGCGTTTGACGGCAAATACTTTTACACCTGGAGTTTCGAGCTTGAGCTCCTCCTACAAACAGCGCAGGTCTACCACTATTTCGACGGCTCCTACTCTAAACCGGTGGAAGACACCAATGACGCCAGGGCTCAGTACTACAGCGAGTCCCTCATGGCGTACAATGTGCTGCTACGTGACGCCTGCGGAACAACTCAGCATTCGCTCCTACAAAGAGAGCGCCGCTCCAGCCCTGGAAGCTTGGAAGCACCTCGTTGAGGTATATCAGCCGAAGGATTCGGTCACCGCCAGCAGGCTCCTGCAGCAACTCATGGAGACCAAGATGGGGCACAGGGAGAAAGAAAACTCATACATTAACCGCTGTCGGAACAACCGTGACCAGATCACGAAGCATGGAAGCGCAATTTCGGAGGAGATCTTCGTCAATATCGTCCTCCAAGGACTCGGGCCAGAGTGGAAGCCCTGCAAAGCGCTACTCCGACAACGTGGAATCATCTCTGAAGCCGCGCTATGCGCCGCCCTTCTGACTGAACAACAGGACATGGACCCGAGCAGGACAAGCTCCGCGCCGCGCCGAGAGCGCCTCGCCTTCTACACAGACAACCGTGAAGAGCGCCGACAACCAAGGCGCCATTATTGCAAAATATGCAAAGTCTTCGGACATTCAACGGATCGATGCAAATCCCGATCCAACTATCGCCACCCGAATTCCACTCACCACAACAACTGGGTCGGCCGACAAGACGCTCGTCATTCTCAGCCCCAGCATCAAACCTCTCGTCCCCCTGCACAGCACCAACAACAGCAGACGCAAGGACCTCAAACAGGAGCTCCTAGAAACGTGATTGCAAACATGGCGGCAAGGCGTCGCCCTCGTGCTGCTGAACCAGACGAAGAGGACGAACTACGCGTCGGGCTCATTCAACCTGAAGAAAGGTGGAACAACCCCCTCACGGAAGATCACGACTACCGCTATGACGAAGATGAGCAAGATTGGCATCAGCCAATACAGCTGCGGGAAAGCCCGCCTCACGAGCATTAGTGCTTCGTACCTGTGGGATGGAAGGAGGACGAAGACCCGTCGTTCCACAGACGCTTCAAGGCGACACTGGTGACTCCGCGACTCGCGCTACTTTTGCGCAACAACAACACCGACAATTACAACACCTGGTACCTGGACAGCTGTTGCGGCCAACACATGGTGGGATCTGTTCGATATGTCTCGAACATCAGCCGCGCCCCTGCTACCTACGTCACAGTTGCTAACAACGAGCAACTGCGCGCCAACGCGCAAGGCATCGTGGTGCTACAAGCACGAGATAGCAACACCCACATCTCCTTCAACGATGTGCTCTTCGTGCCAGACCTCCGCTTCAACTTACTCTTGGCATGACAACTTCGAGACTGCGGAGTCATGCTCGCCACGGACCCGGACACACACGACCTCATCCTCACCTATGCTCCCCCGGACACCCCTCCCGAGTCGCACAAATATCTCGGACGAGCTCGCTCAATCAACGGCATCTACGTACTAGATTTCGACATACCCAACTGCCAAGCTTCATCAGAAGAGCTCGTAGACCTCGTCCCCCTTGACTTCCCGTTCATGAACAAGGAGTCGTGGCAGCACCCAGACGGACGGCCATGGATTCGCCGCAGTCCGCACCCCCGTGAAATTAATCTGCACCAGCCAGACATCACCGGCCTCTGCACCACCTGTCATACACCCATGGCAAGCCGCACAGAAGAAGTGGAAAGAGATCTCGCGGCAATCCAAGAGGCGGAGAGCGCTGAGGAAGAGCCCACTGGGATGACCGAGATGGAACTCGCTGTCACTACTTACCGCATCTTCGGGGAAGAAAATGAAAGGCTTGGACAACGACGTCAAGAGCGGCCAACGCCCCGCGCAGAAACCCTCCGCTGGGTCTTGGAAGCAAACATCGGAACCTTCGATGAAGAAGGACGCCCGCGCCCTTACCCTCGCGAAGTCTACCGCAACTTCATCGACAAGTCATGGAAGGATCCTAACGCAGGCGACGGCAGAAAAGAAGCAGAAACTGTATGAGGAGCGCGTAGTGGCAGGATGGGACGAGGAGTCAGCACGACGTGGCGCATGGGGAGACGATGACTACACACCAGAGGAAGGCGCAACATGGGGATCCGCAACTGGCGCATCCGGCACCGTGCGAACAGGCGGATGGGGCGATACCGGAGGATGAGGAGGAGACGAATACATGGATGCTCCGCTCACCAAAGAAGAAGAAGAGGAGATAGAGCGAGAAATGGCTGCAGAACGCGGAGAACGATCACCACGCGTCCCCATTCCGCTAGGACGCCCACCGCGCAACCTGCCGTCATCACCGCACTCACCACCATGGCGTTGGAACAGCTCCTGGTCGGTGATTGAGGAGGGGAACATGCCACCAACTCCCCCACGTGACTCACTTGGTCCAATCTCCCGCCCAGATCCATTCGCCCGCCTTATCGAAGGCATGAGGACTCCGCTCAACATCATCCCCAATCGCGAATTTCTTGCGCTCTACCTCACGACGGCACCTGCAGAAGGGGAGACAGCAACAGAAGCAGAAGCAGAGGAGCCGGACAACGAAGCAGAAGAAGAGGAAGAACCTCCACTCCAGATTCCGCAAGAAACAGAAGCAGAAGCGGCAGAATACCGTGCTCGTTACATGCGCACTTCCGGGGTCCGCGCCGAAGATGAACTCTGGCATCAGCGACTCGGTCACCCCTCGCGTCAGACGCTTAACAACTGTCTCCGCGCCAAAGTGTTTCCCCCAGGAGCACTGTTGCGCCCCGACGGCACGGAACCCCACAACACCCCACACCCAACTACCTGCACCGTTTGTCCCACAGCTGCCCTCTCCCACAGCGCCTACCCCTCTCTGGAACCAAGCACCAACCGCTACAAGAAGCTGCAGAAGGTGTATAGTGACTTCATCGTGCTCACCTACGACGGCATCAACGGCGAGAGATACACACTAACCTTCGTGGACGCCTACTACTCACGCCACGTTTGGATCGCCAACGTCGACGCTCGCTCAAAGGCTCCAGAGGTCTTCCGCATCTGGCTCGCACATGCACAACGACAATCAGGGAGGAAGCTGAAAATCTGGCAGAGCGACGGGGCCAAAGAGTTCCGCAGCAACGAGCTGGAGAGTGTTCTCACGGAGAAGGGGATCAAGCATGAGGTTTCTCTCCCCTACGCTCACCAGCAGCAAGGCGTCGCAGAGAGGGTTAACCGCACCCTCATGACAAAAGTGCGCGCCCTCATGAACCAATCCGGCCTACCCAAGAAATACTGGCTGTACGCCATGAACCACGCTGTGCGCCTGCACAACCTTCTCTCCACCACGGCCAACCGGAACAACCTTTCCCCGCACATGAAGTGGACCGGCTCAAAGGGAGATCCCTCCATGCTGAGGGTTTGGGGGTGTATGGTGCAGTACCGGCCGACGACCGCGACAATCGGCAAGTTCACCCACCGTGCGCGCTGGGGAGTCCATCTGGGACTCAGTAACGAGTACAAGGGTTGGCTCATTCTTGACATTGACAGCAAGCTGATCGTCCCCGCTCGTGATGTTCTCTTCTATGAGCAGCAGCAGCAGGGACGTGATGTTCGCGACTCACCTTGCAGCAGTGGATTTACGACAAACGTCGCAACGAAGCACGCGGCTACGTCAACAGCGGCCGCAGCTTCGCATCCCCAGAAGACGAGGCAGCAGCGGCAGCACTCGACCGCGATCCCGCCGACGAACATCCCGGCGTTCCGCCTCGCCCGCGCGACGACGACGACGACGATGTGTCGAAAGACTAGGCAATAATCAGAAACAGGAAAGAGAGGTTTTCACTAGCAGCAGTTGAGATACATATAGCAAACCCTAATTGGGTTGTACTCGCTATAGAGTACCCCACTGCAGGCTAGACAAACATCGACATTCTGACACGATGATGACGACGACACACCCGCGCCAGGACCATCGCGCCGCCAACCCGAGCCTAGCACTACCGCAACTGCCCACGAGAGTGACGATGACGATGTGGTAGAGGTCACCACCGGCGATACCACAAATGTGTCCGACCTGCAGCTTCTCGGCCTACACACGTCTGTCACTACCCTCACGCGCGCCGTCGAACCCAAGAACCCTCGCCAGGCTCTAACCGGTCCTCACGCCAAGGAGTGGCGTGCTGATATGGACGCGAAGCTAAAGGCACTGGAATCACGTGACACTTGGGTCCTGGTCGATCGTGCAGCAGTGAAGGGGAGGAGGGTTCTAAGCGGAAAATGGGTATTCCGTCTCAAAACCAACGCTGACGGAATTATCGAGCACTTCAAGGCCATTGCCATTGCCATTGCCGCCGCTAAGCACCTACCACTGCGGCAGATCGACGTGAAGAACGCGTTGGTGGATGCAACCATCTTCGTGGAACAGCCACACACCTACGGGGAAGGAGATCCCAGGGTCTTCAAGCTGAAGAAATCCCTATACGGGATAAAGCAAGCGCCGCGTCTCTGGCAGCAGCATCTGCACAAAATCCTCCTGGAGATCGGCTTCAGGCAGCTGCCGCACGACCCGGGAATGTACCGCCTTCACTTTAACGGCGATTACATCCTTCTGACAGTCTACGTCGACGACCTGCTGTACACCGGCACCTACAACAAGCTCCTTAATCAGTTCGAAGAGAACCTGGCGCAGCGCGTTGACATCACCATCAACCACAACGCCACACAGTTCCTGGGGTTAAACATCACCTACGCGCCAGAAGCAATTCACCTGTCAGCCTCCAAGTACGCAGAGCAGCTGGGGGAACGCTTCAACATTTCACCCGCACCACTCTCAACCCCTTACCGCAACCCCAGCGCCAACTACAAACCGGACAACAAACCTCTGTCACCCGCAGGACTCCAAATGTACCAGCAGAAATTGGGGTGCCTGCTGTTCGCCTCTGTCACATACCGACCCGACCTTTCGTACATCGCCAGCCAACTGGCACAGTACTCTCGCAATCCAGTAGCAGAGAACCAGCTGGATCTGGAGCGCGGCCTGCAGTACTTCATTTCCACACCTGACATCGGGCTCTCCTACTCCACGCTGACGACGACCTCTTTCAACCTCAACGGCTACGTGGATGCAGATCATGCCGCTGATCCTGCAAATCGACGGTCCCGAATCGGCTTTGTTTTCCGCCTGGAACCAACCGGACCAATCTCCTGGAACTCGCAGAAGCAGGAGCTGGTTGCCCTACCATCGGCCGAAGCAGAATACATCGCCGCGACAGCAGCAGTTCGCGAAGGTCTGTACCGGCAGGAGTTACTGCAGGAGGCGACAACCAGAGTGCCATCAAGATTGCGAACAAGCCAGGGTTCGTGAACCGCACGAAGCACATCAGGCTTCGGTACTTTTTCGTCAAGGACGAAATTGACCAGGGCAAGGTTGATCTCACGTACTGCCCTACCACCGAGATGGCAGCCGACTTTCTCACCAAGCGACTGCCACGTCAGCAGTAGAAGCACTGTTCCGACCTCACCGGAGTGATCAAGCGAGTCAGCCCCCTGCGCGCCCAGGAATGAAGGGGAGTGTTACGATATGAAGGCATTCCTGTATGCTACAGGGGCCGACTCTAAAGTGTATGAAGCCGAGGAGTCAGAAGAGTCGAAGCGACACTGGTAACCGTCTGATCAAGACCGATGCAGGCGGAAACATTCAAAGTGAAAAGAGCGGGAACAGGTTTGAAACGGTTCCCGCGCCGCACGGTTTGAACTTCGCTGTAATAAGGGAATGTACCCCTTAGAGTACATGGCTAGTCTAGGTCGTTTCGTATTCCTTTGTATTTCCTATATAAACTCAATGTATGCATGCTATTATCAATCTCAATCATTTACATTCACTCTGACCTAAGTTCACTACTTCCGCTGCAATACTACCCTGCGATCAACCCTGAACGATCCTTCGCTAAGTCCCACTTGGGATTGTAACAATACTACGTCAAAATCAGAACGCGTGCACTGAATGAAGAATGGTGTGTACAATTAGGCAACATTGACCTAGGCTACCAAATGTAACACCCTAATAGCAAGCACTTTTGACACTATCTTCTATCCGAGCGATGACGATAGCGCTAGTGAGGTAAGCACATCAAGGTCTGAAATCGGAAATGAGACTAGGAGCTTGTCTCCTTTGTGTCAAATTGCATTTGTATGTCTGTAGGCTGTAATGGGGTAGCCCATATAGGGTACAACCCTTTTGGGGTTGCCTACTTGTAGTTGTCATTCATGCTAGTGAAGTCATTTCCTGCCTGAGTACCTCCAGTACCTAACGATTCTGACACTTTGCTGCAAACTCAGTTAGTCAAATCAATTTCAGAAAATTATACATGTCTCTAACGGCTTGTCTCAGCCCAACCATCTGCTAACCAGTAAGCATGTCTTGTAAGTGTTAGAGCAAGCTAAAGTAGTGATTCGAGCAAGAGGGCCAAGGCAGCTGAAGAAACACGCTCATACTGCTACCAGTAAAAAGGATACTCTTACTTTCTTCCCTACATAACGTTTCTCCGTCTCCTCGATGCTGTTTCGCCATATTTTCCAGAAATAAATAAATATTTTATGTTCTCTCCTGCAAGTAAGAAGAGCAAAATGGTGAGAGGGGTATGGGTATATGGTGTATGTGGGAGGAGGGAAGACTTGTAAGAAGAGCAGCAAAAAACAGGAGTTGACTTGGAAGACAACAATAAAGAAGTAAACGAAAGGTGCAAAAGAATCGAGCAAGTGAAATTGTTGCAACAGTGGCCCTGTAGTACTCACTTTAAATAATCCGCAGAAGTGGCCCTGCAAGATTAGGACAAGTGCCAAGGGGAGACAGAGGTAGCCGTGTTTGAATGAGGGTGGGACGCACAAATGCAAGCATGAGTGGATGTGCGTGTGCGTAGACGAGTGTGTGAGTGCGTGTGAGAGATAAAAACGGACATAAACTAGGAATGGGTCTACGCAGCAGGCAAGCACACTGCAGTCCACTACTCTAAAATTTGAAACTTTAATACACAGTGAACCATTCGCATCGGCCACTCACATTTTCGCAAATCGCAAAGCTAAAAGCCCGCATGCGGCCCATGTCTGCAAGCATGTCCAATGCGTTCCACACCTGCACACCCAACAAGTTATGCCATGGGCGCATGAAGGAACAGTAAAAATACCGCCTCTCATTGCCTATGTTTACCACACCCTGTTAGCACAGTGTGATCCCACCCAACCTGATGCATGGGCATGCTACCTTGCAAGCACGCAAGACACCATCCCTTCTGCACTAAGGGCCGCCTCACAATAGAATTTAGCCCGACCTACTCGAGAAAAAGTGGTGCATCGTGTCACCCTAATACCCGAAACCCTAAACCTGGAGTGTAGCTTGCAGCAGCAATCAGTGGTTGTGAAGGGAGCGGCATTACCTTGCAGCAGCAGAAGGGGCATTTGCCATGGTCATCGGCAGCAGCAGAACGAGCCGCCAGCTGTCGATACAGCCTGATGGATTCAATGGGGGGGACGACGGGGAGATGGGCGGCGGAACACAGTTGGAGACACGGGTGCAAGGAAGGGACGCATGAGGAGGTGCGGGGACCGGGGGGGGAGAGGGTACGGGGGGGGGGGGAAGGAGAGGGAGGGGAAGAAGGAAGTGAAATAGGTGTGTCAAAGATTCTGAAGAAATGATGGAGAAAGCCGGTTCGAAACAGCCGCGCATGACAGGGGGAAGGCAACGAGGCCAAGAGGCACCGGCCTTTGTGAGTGATTCTCAAGAATTGAAAATCCTCAACATACTCGGTGCGTGAGAACGCATGGATGAAGCCTCGGCAGACGGAGATGTCCCACATGTTCAACGATGGTTCCATCACAGCAAACGACGCCCCTGCCTCCCCCTCCCCCTCCTCCCCTTCCCCCTCACTCTTCCCCACCCCCTCCTCCTCCTCCCTCTCCTCCTCCTGGTTCTCCTTCTCCTGCTCCTGCTGCTCCTGCTGCTCCTGCTGCTGATGCTGCTCCTGCTGCTGATGCTGCTCCTGCTGCTGATGCCCCTCACGGCATCTCGCGCTAGTGCAACGCGGGAAGGAGGAGCGCAAAGCAGCAGTGGATGAGACAGAGAGCAGCGAGGGGGGGAAGAGATCGGAGATGAGGAAGGGGGAGAACAGGTGTGTCTCGTCCACGTGCCCCATAAGACCCAGACTCTTCTTGTTCCCCACGCGCGACACCATGGCTACCAAAAATGCTTCTCTCTCTTCCGCTGTCGTTCCCTCCTCCTCTGCTGCTCTCCCTCCGCCCACTTCCCACCATTCCTGAGCGTCTCGCTCTGCAGCATCACCATCACCTTCAAGACCAGCACCATCAGCACCATCAGCATCTGCTGCTAAATCTCCGCCCATGTCCCTCCATACATGTGTGTCTCGCGCTACAGCATCGCCGTCACCTTCAAGACCAGCAGCAGCAGCAGCAGCAGCAGCAGCAGCATCAGCATCAGCATCAGCTTCCTCTTCAGGAACACCAACAACCGCATGATTAGAATCAACATCACCCTCACCCTCACCATCACCCACCTCACCACTGTCAATCTCATCCCACATGCGCCCATAACGCTCCACAAAATCATCTGCAACAATCCCGTTTCCACGCACATTCCCATCCCAATTCGCGTATCCCGGGCCTCTCAGAATCGCCTCAATGTCAATCCCTTCCCCTCCTTCCCCCACCGCACCCCCCCTCCTCCACCCCACTCTTTCTCCAATTCTCGAGACCACCCTCTCTCCCACCCTCCCCACCGTCGTCTCCCCAACCCTCCTCGCCAGCCTCCTACCTCCCCTTACAGCCACACGTCGCGCCGTCCGCGCCGTCCTCTTCGCGAAGACGCATGCGAAATACGTCACGACGATCGGCACGAGTACGGCGATCACAGGCACCCACGCAACGCGCGACGCGGCGCGTTTACACATGCGCCACGCGCTCCTACTCCGGTCATCATGCATGAAAATCTCGGAACAACGGCTCGCGTCGTCTCCGTCAAAGTATCCGTCGGACCACCATTGGCCGACTTTTTCCAGGAGCTCCTTAATTCGCGGGTTCAGCAGGCTGAACGGCACCTCGAGAATACCCGGCGAGTAGCTGAGAAGCTTCGGCGAAAGAGCGGCGGCTGGTAACCCGACGAGTTTTCGGTTGGAAAGCCTCGTCGGGCGAGTGGACTCTCCTCTGACGCCGCCGGCGTTTTGCCGGCGTTTCGCCTCCTCATGCTGCGCGTTAATATCTCGGACGAGATCTTGCGCGCGGGTGTGACAGTAGGGGGGCCAGAGGTCGGTCGTGGCGAGACGGCGGAGCCGCGTGCAGCAGGCGGCGAGGACGGCGATGGCTCGGAGAGGGTGACCCGTCATACGCGCTATAGACAGAAGGACATCCGCGTCCAGATCGGTAAGCCGTCGCCTGATGGGGGTTTCTTGCAGGAGAAAATACATCGGCGTCGGGACGCGGTCAATCGTCGAAGGATGAATATTAGCTGAAGAAGCATGGTCAACGGGACGGTCTACTGCATGGTCAACGGGATTCTGGTCAACGGGATCGTGGTCGACGGCACCGCTTGCCATGATACCCATTGAGCCATGCTGCATCGCGGGTTCGCCACCAATCGTCGTTGCCGTCGTTGAAGCTTCACTGGCGAACACCATGTCACCGCGGTTATCGGGGTAACTTATGTTGCCACCATGATGGTTATCCATCAACTCTAAGTCAGTGTTCGGGTTCGCCTCGGATGGGACGGTCGAGTCGAAAGGGCCAGAGGGAGACGTCCACGATTGATTGTCGAATTTGTTGAATTCATGGCGGCCGGAATCCCGTGTCGTGTCATCAGCTTGCTCCAACGCCTCGCCGTTGAAAGTGCGTTGTTCCTGCTGCCATTCCTGTTTGACTATGACTAGGGTTTGCGGTGCTTCCATTGTTGAAGTGTCGTGTGGCGTGGCGACTGATAGTGCACGCTACTCACTACAACTGGTCCTGCTCCTCGCTGCAATAGAACGAATACATGCTATGGGTGAGGCGAATTCAAATGCGTAATATCCGCCCGCGAACTAACGTGGCAGCACTTATGAGAACTGGAACACATCGTCGTGCAGCAGCAAGAACAAGAAGTGAACACCCATGGTAGGTGTGTGGGGCGGGAGTGGTGAGGAAAAAGGCTTGCGAATGACCCTCAGGATTATCGACGTGCTAATATGACCGTTTCTCAGAGAAACCTAGAATTTTGCACACCCCTCGTTAAATGGGCCGTGGCAGGCCTAAGAGCCCAGTTTTTTACAGTCTGTTAGGTAGGCGAGAGTAACGGATTTCCCCACACCAATCGAGGCCCGCGCAAAGTAATCCCAAAAGACCGGTGTTGCATGAATGTTTCTGATAGGAATTTGTCTTTGGGCAGCCCATGCTGTACTTTCCAAAAGGCTGATGAGCTGGCGCGGAATTCATTCGATCTGGCGTCAGGGGGAAGAACAAATGTTGCCGTGAAGATAACGCGATGTGAAAGCAACTCCACCTAGGGCTGGGCTGGGATCTCCCCTGGGCAATGAAATGGAAATGTACTGTGTACAGTATGTGTAATTTGCAAGCAGCCACGAAGGTGCAGATGTGGTCCGCCTTTGCGACAGACCAATCACGGCAGTACCGTGTTTACGGTGCAACTATTTGATTGGTGGTTGATGCCAAGCAAGGCTCGGGCGCAAAGGGTGGGTCAGGACAGGGTTGATGTTTTGTTTGACTTGGGCGGAAGGACAGAGAATCTCTTACCTGTATTAAAATACTCACCAAAAGCCACAGAGAGCATTCTTACTCACATGTTGATACATCTTTGCATGATAGCAACCTTTAGGTGTCGGTGCCAACTTTGTGCAGCGTTCGCATATGCAATCGACTTCCTCAACCCTTCCCTAGAGTTTCAAGGCATGTGTAAAAAAAAAAAAAAAATGAGGGAAAGTAAAAAAGGGTATGTATTCTTCTTCACTTGCTCCGTTATCAGCATGCTTCCATGCAAGAGAACATACGTTCACGACCATTTATACTCCATCCGTTCATCTTCATCCATCTCCGGCTCGTCTTCCTCCGCGCTCCCAGCTATCTCCCTGTCCCCTGACCCGACTCATCCCTCCCACCATTGGGTCCGTCGTCCCTCTCGTGCTCGCCCCGTGTTTCCTCCTAGTGTCCACCTATGCTGTTTCATTCGCCCGTCTCTCGTGCTCTGCCACCCTCTGTTCTGCTGTCGCCTCCTCTGTCGTCCCTTGCTGTCTCCTCTCCTCCGTTCTTTAAATTTCTCCATGCCGCTCGCCCTACAATCTCCCGTATCATTTGTTCCCTCGTTATCAGCCCCACTGCTCCTCCTCCGTCTGTGTTGGCTCCTATCGCTGCTGTTGCTGACTTTGCCTCCACCCACCGCCTTGACTACGCCACTTAGTTGGTCTTTGCTCTTGCCCGCCCTCTGTCCGCCAGGGGTGCTCCTGCCCTTGGCAGTAACGCCCTAGCATACGGGCAGTACAAGCTGGCATTTCTTGCAGACGCCGCACCTCATATCTACGCCATGATGCTAGCCCCTAAGGGTGACCCAAACGCTCTTGACATCCCGAATCCTCGCACCTATGCTGAGGCAGTCTCAAGACTCTGAGATCCTCAGTGGATACCAGCCATGTACACAGAGATGGCATCTTGGAGGTCCATATGCACCTACGTCGACGCAGTTCCCCCTTCTAGGGCGAACATAGTCGATGGCATACGGAACTTCAAGGTGAAGCGGCCATACGGAGAGCTGCATGTCTTCAAGGCACGCTACGTGGCTAGAGGCTTTAGTCAGCGAGAAGGCGTAGACTACATTAGGACCTCTCTCCCACCCCGAGGATGACCAATCTTCAGGTACTGTAGCGCATTGCAGCACAACGCGACTACGAGCTTCACATGTTTGACTTTCTTGGATACCATGTAAGAATAGCAAAAATTAGCTAGGAGTAGGAAAGATTGAGAATGAAAAGGGGACTAGAAAAAGGGCAAGTGCCCAAGTTATACGGGCAAGGGTTTCGGCAAGGGGTGTACCACCAACAAAAATGTATACGCTAGTAACTACACTTCATGCTATTTATAAATAAAGTGTACGTACATTTTGACAAGATCCTGATTGTGAAGGTAATTGTTAACGTGTATTTCTACTTGTAGGGGTACACTTTGGTAGGCCATGTAAGATTTGTCGTTGCACAGTCTAGTGCTAGATATTTGTACTCATGCATGCCATTCTAGTCTTATTCATTCTCTTGTTTCAACATGGTATCGAGTAGGTTAGGATTCACGCTTCTGGATCGCTCAACCTACCCTAGCCTAGTCTGCCACCTACTCGCCTTAGGCCTCGCCTATAGAGCGCCTCCCAGGAAGCCCGCCAGCCCGCTAGCTAACGCCCGCCACTTAGTGAACGCCAGCCCGCACACTAGCGCGCACACGCCAGCACGCACGCCATTGCACACCCTCGTGCAGCCCGCCCCCACAGCGCTGCCGACGCCCTTAGCGCCGCCGCAGCCCGCACCCTTGGCCGCCGCTGCTGCAGCCTGTTACCGCTGACACCGTCGACCCTGCCTAGGCCATCCGTTGTTCCCTGCTTAGGCTGACCGTCGCACACCTACCGGCGCTTACCGCGCACCTGAGTGCGCTTATCGTGCACCTACATGTGGCATTCGCACACCTGCTGCCAGCCGCCATCACGCTAATGCCTAGTCGCCAGTTTGCCACCAGCCTTTGCCAGGCGCCCGCCATTAACTCGCTATTGGCCGGCCGCCCTCGTCGGCCATACCACCTGCTCCTCACACCTGTTGCCTTGACCTCGCTAGCCTTAGCCATGGCGTCCGATAGAGTCTTGTGCTTCGAAGCCGAAGGGCGCGCGACTGACTTCATCACGTGGCTACTGCACGCCAAGCTTCACCTCCTGAGCCAGCGTCAGGATGGTGACACCATGTACGCTCACACTTCACGTGAGCTGCCAGCTCCCCAGTGTCCCACCCCTCTTACTCGTGGAGCCAGTTCGACGGACTAGGAGACCTTCGCTGTACAGCACACTGCGTACTAGGTGTGGCAATCACGAGACGCTGCTGCTCGCCTCGCTCTTCGTCGCCTCCTCCCGACGGCCGGATGCATTCACTTCAACCAGGTCACGTCGGCGAAGGAGTTCTTTGATGCTACCATTTCTTGCTATCCACTCTTCCTCTCCTACCCTAGGTCACATTCTCATGCTCTTTCTCTTCCCAGACCTTCTTGCGTTTTCCACTATTTCTGACATCGTCACTCACTTGGGCTCCCTCGATGCTAGCTATCGTCCTGCTTGCACCGCTGTGCGTTGCTTTCGCCGCACCGCCGACCTCTTCCACGACCGCTTCGGGCTTGAGGCAACTCCCTCGCACTGGCCCTCCATGCTGAGTCGTGGCTTGCCTGTTTTCACAATGTGCAAAATCCATGTGCCAAGTCTAAAGATCGAATGTGACTTATGCTATGGTCCCGTAGTTAGTGGCCACTCGCGCCCAGCACGACCTGCATGTGCTTCGTCTGCATTACGATCGTGGTGGTGAGTTCCGCTCCGGCCGACTTACCCAGTATCGTAGCGTGCAGGGTATCACCCAATCCTTCTTGCCTCCGGGCTCGCCTCAGCACAATGGGGTAGCTGAGTCCAACAAATAACTACTCTTTGGGTACTCATGCACATGCTCGACTACAAGCTGCTCCACCGCCTTTCTCCGGGGCAGCCTGCATGAGCAGATCTGGCACTGCTGTCCTCCTGGCTTCACTGGCTCTTTCCCTCCTGGGACCCAGTAGAGCCTTCGACGGCCAGTCTACGGTCTGCGCCAGGCTCCCTGTGAGTGGCGTGACACGTTGCGCACTACTCTCGCTGCTCTCGGCTTCTTCCTGTCCTCTGCTGACCCTTCTCTCTTCGTTCGCACGGGCATGCCGTTCTTCATTCTTGTTTACCTCGGCGACTTGGTCTTTGCTACTGCAGACATGATTACTCTAGCTTCAGGTAAGGTTGAGCTACTAAAGAGACACACTTGCACTGACATTGGTGAGCTGCACCGATAACTTGGCTTGCATATTACCAGGGACAGAATAGCGGACACCATCAATATGACTCACTCACGCATGATGCAGCAGATCCTTCAGTGTTTTAGCCTTCAGTTCTCCTCCGCACAGCCCATTCTTCAGGCTATTGGTCATATACTCTCGGTGCGTACGCGGAGCTGTTGTGGTGCCTCATGTATCTGGTGACTTGCACTCGACTAAACCTAGCCTATCTTCTCAGCATCCTGGCTCGCTTTGTTGTGATTGGGAGACACCGACACGAGCACCGGTCGGCTGCTAAGAAGGTAGCGAG